TATTTCATTTAGCATAATACCCTAATAAGTACATTTAATAAGATAGATTTGAATTTATAAAAATAAAAGATGTTGACACCCTGAAGTGTAATAAAATATGTGTGGAAAGGAAAGTAAATAAAATTACCAACATATGTGATAAAATCTTATATGCAAAATAGATGCTTTGATAGACGTGTGTATGGTCTATAATAGGATTTTGTTTTGATAGGTAGTTGAAGGAGAGAAACAATTCAAACGTGTAGAAATATTAAGAGAAAGCCTTTGTGAAGAATATATAAGAAGGGAGCATAGCTTAGACATCTCGTGGACATTTTTGAAGTAAAAGATTTACTTAAAAGTGTGGTGCAAAAAATAATTAGTGCACAAGCAAAAGCAGGCAGCGAGAGAGGAGGAAGCAGGGAGCCTGCTTCCTGCTGAGCAGAGAGTCCGATGTGGGGCTCCATCCCAGGATCCTGAGACCATGACCTGAGCTGAAGGCAGAGGCTTTAATCCACTGAGCCACCCAGGTGCTTCCTTTTTTTTAAATTAGACTATTTTTAGGAGCAGTTTTAGGTTCACAATAAAATTTCACAGAGGGTACAGGAGAAACATCTCATATACCCCTTGCCTCTGCTCAGTTTCCCCCACTATATCAAAGTCCTGCAGTAGAGTGGTGCATTTATTACAAAAGATGAACCAATGCCAACCCATCTCTATGACCCAAAGTCCCTAATTGATATTAGGTTCACTTTTGGTGTATATTCTTTAGGTGTTGACAAATACATAATGACTTGTATTCATCACTACAGTGTCACGCAGAGTAGTCTCATTGCCCTAAAAATACTCATTGCCCTTTTTCCTTGATTAGCCCTGACGACCATGGATCTTTTTAGTATCTCCCATAGTTTGCCTTTTCCAAAATGTTATGTATGTAGTAGGAATCATACACTATATAAATTTTTTAGATAGATTTTTTTTTTTTTTGCTTAAAAATACACATTTAAGTTTCCTGCATGTATTTTCTTGGCTTGATAGATCATTTCTTCTTTGCAGTCAGTAATATTCCATCGTCTAGATGTAACACAGATTATTCATCCATTCACCTACTGAAGGACATCTGGTTGCTCCAAGTTTGGGCAGTTAGGAGTAAAGCTGCACTAAACATTTGCCAAGCAATTTTTTGTTCCCTGCCAGTCACCACCTCTCTGGGGTTCAGTTTCCTCCATCTCTAAACTGTAGCTGATGATTTATAAGGGTTCGGAGGTTGGAAATGATACGGTTATCTAGATAACAGTCATGAAATCTATGTTATACTGATTATGAATAACTTAGGCCTGTATGCTGAAGACTTAAGTTGGTAAAGCCTTTCTGATAGAAAGCAGTCTGGTCCTATAGAAACTAAAGTTATACTCTGTTCAGATCATTCTATTTTGGAGGGTGTACTTCAAGTAAACCCAAATGGAAGTTACAACATTTTTTCTTTAAGCAAAGATTTTCAGAGTGTAGTTAATTTAAAAAAAAAAAGTGTTTAAAGATTTTAGTTCTTTGAGAGAGAGAGAAGGAGTGGTGGGGAGGGGCAGAAGGAGAAGCAGGCTCCCTACTGAGCAGAGAGCTCATGTGGGGCTTGATCCCAGGACCCTGAGATCATGACCTGAGCCAAAGGCAGATGCTTAACCCACTGAGCCACCCTGGTGTCCCTATAGGGCAATTTATTAAAGCCGAATAAGATAAAACAAAACAATGGAAACAATTCAAGTGCCCAGAAATGGGGAAATGCCGAGTAAATTGTGTGAGGGCAGGGATCATGACTATTTATTCAGACTAATGTGTGCCTAGCACCTCACTCAGTGTGGTGTTCTAAATATTGGCTGAATGTAAAAATACTGAAGAAAGAACTTAGGGGAGAGAGAAGATTCGATGGCATTCTGCTTTTCCCTTCATTTGCTGCTTCGCATCTCTCTTTGCTCCACTCAGCTGTACTAGCTGTTACCTGCTGGACTCCACCCTTGCCTCTTCAGTGACCCCAGTGAACGTCTTAGGTATGTGATGTAGCTGCCATCGCATAGCAGCTTCTCCTTGGAAAAGGACATCACCACGCCTGTGGAGAAGTTAAAACAGAGCAGCCTGTGTGTCCCCATTTTGCCAGGGCAGTCTCAGTCTGTGCCTGATGTCTCAGTGTAAAGCTTAGGAGCAGCTTCCACGCGCAAAGGTAGCTGGGTTCAGACAGTAGGGTGCCATTTAGCTAAGGCTCTTTCTGTTTACTTCAGTGCTAGAGTTGTGAAACATTTTCTTGATTTTCCAGTTCAGTTTACTTTAATGAACATTTTCTTTTCATGCTCAATGGATGATTGTGACATACAAAGAAAACCAGATAAGGCCCTGTCACCACAGAATTTTCCCTTAATGCTTTTCCCTTGATAGTTTATTTTGGTAACTCCTAGCCTCCTTCAGAATCAGGTGTTCCTACATCCAGGCTCCTTCTATCACCTCATCCTTTTAGAAGACATTTTTCTGGCTTGCCTCTGGCTGCATGCCTTCCTCTCCTGTGGAACTTAAAGGAATATTCCTAAGAACCTGTGCCCCTACCATGTGGCACTCTGGGTATTTAGGATAATGGAATTCCTTGCCCAAACACATTTGAGCCTACTTCTGGGGACTTGTGGATCTCTTCCCTTGGATACATGCACACAAGGCCCCTCTCAGTGCCCGCTAAGCCAGGGATGGGAGGAGACGGGAGTGGATGGCAGGTTAGGGACAGGAGGTTGGCAGGCTTGCTGCAACCTTACACATTGCAGAATTCAAGAATCTAATTTTTACCTGGCATTCAAGGTCATTTTGAATGTGTATTCCTCAAAGTAGGAGAATAGAACATACTTTTTGTAGTGGTTTATTAGCTTGACTTACCACTTTTAGATATTTAAACACATGGTATCTGAGCTTCCATTTACATTTCTTGACATGGACCCCACAAATATCGGGGGTAGGCCCACTCATGGTAAAACCTAAAATCCTTACCATGACACAAGACATCCTATATAATCTGCTCCTGCCCCTGCCCTGCTTGGCTCCAGCTGTGTTAGATTCCTCACTGCTCCAGAACAGTCTAGGTGTGCTTCTGTGTCAGGTCCTTGCACTCCCCGCTGCTGCTTCTTGGAATGTTCTTCTTCCAGATATCCATGTGACCTCATGTCTTTCAGGTCTCCCCGACTCCCCCTCTCCTTCCTGTGACCCCCTTCAAGCAGCACCCCCTCCCCACCACCATCATTACTTTATCAATGAGACCTCCCCAGGCTAATCTTTCCAGAATTTTATTATCCCCACAAACACTGACTGTCTCCTTCCCTGCTTTACTTACTTCCCTTAACATGCATCACTATAAAAAAGTTAGAAGTAATAAAAAATTAAACTAGGTCCCTTCCCTAAATATCTTTCTTTAACTCCTCCTTAGATATAAAATGTTTTTTCCTTAAAAATTTTCTATTTTAGAGGTGCCTGGGTGGTTCAATGGTAAAGCCTCTGCCTTCCGCTCAGGTCATGATCCCAGGATCCTGGGATTGAGCCCCCACATCGGGCTCTCTGCTCAGCGGGGAGTCTGCTTCCTCCTGTCCCTCTCTCTGCCTGCCTCTCTGCCTACTTGTGATCTCTCTCTGTCAAATAAATAAAATCTTTTAAAAAAATTTTTTCTATTTTAGTTTTTGTGTTTTAAAGTCATTTATGTAGCCACTTTAAAGGATAACCTAGATCTCCAAGTCTACTTTTTTAAAGCTGCAGTCCCCCTACTGTCATACCCTCAATTTTTTAAGGGTAACCATTATCAGCTCTCTTAAATGATTCTTTTAGTATTTCCCACCATATCTACATAACAAACATACTTCTATTGCTACTTCCTAACTTTTCAATTTTAGGCATTACCAATCTACTTTCTCCTGTAAAGGATGAGAACTAAGGTTTCCTTTATCATTGGCACACGCGCGCACACACACACACACACACACACACACACATGATCCAACTCTCCCTCTTCCCAGTATGAGTTGTGATTTGGGGTAGATCAAGATTCAGTGCTTTTCGAACTGTAAACACCAGTCATAGCTGAGCCATGTCGTAGATTATGATTACTTTTCCTCTAGCACTTTATTCTTCCTGGAATTAAAAATTACGATGGTTTTGATTTGCTTACTTTTCTGAGTTATTAGCATCAGGGCTCCCTCAGATTGCCCTAGTTATATGTGTCTTCTTTCAGTATGTTCCCACCTCTGTTTTTTTTTTTTTAATTTAATTTTATTTTTTCAGTGTTCCAAGATTCACCGGTTATGTACCACACCCAATGCTCCGTGTAGTTGTGCCCTCCATAATTCCCACTTCTGTATGCTATTGTTTTTGGTTGAGTCTTCAGATCTTTTTAAATCTGGATGTGTGTTCTCACAGGCCCCATTTGACTGAAATCATAGAGACACCTCTAAGAAGGCTTGCTTATAGGACTTTGGGCAGTCACTGCCCATAGAGTTGTTTGTTTCAAATACTTACTATGTGAACAAACAATGAAAATATAACTTTGTACCATAAATTTCTGTATGGTTCTCTTTCATATGTTATGATTAAGATACCTTTTATTCCAAAAATATAGAATGTATTTTTATATTTCATTGTTTTACAAAGAACATATTGTAAATTACTGGAATAATTTTAATAAATTTAAATTTATAAGTAAATTTAAATAAATATATATGTTTTGTATATATATTTTGTTTAAAATAAATAAATTTATTTTTATTTATTTTTTTAAAGATTATTTATTTATTTATTTGACAGAGATCACAAGTAGGCAGAGAGGCAGGCAGAGAGAGAGGAGGAAGCAGGCTCCCCGCTGAGCAGGGAGCCCGATGCGGGGCTTGATCCCAGGACCCTGGGATCATGACCCAAGCCGAAGGCAGAGGCCTTAACCCACTGAGCCACCCAGGTGCCCCAAAATAAATAAATTTAAATGAAGAATATTGTATTGTATTCTTTATTTATAGGCTCTTAAAATTAGAGAGATCTGTAATTGCCCACCACTTTCTGGACCAGACCCTCGATTACTCTTCAAACTCAGCATGAAGCATTTCTTGGAAGAATCAGAGAAAGAAGACCTAAAAGTCACTGCCGAGAAACAGAAAATGGATACTCTCACCATTCAACAACAGAAGCAAATACCCTTAACATATATAGTTGAGAAAAGAACTAGCAGTTGAATTAAAATTTATGAGACACGGGATATATGAAGAATGCAGCGGTCCTTACCATTTTTATGTTATTTTTTAAAAAATGATGTTTGAAATTTAAAAAATGTATATTCAGGGTCAAATCATGTGTATTACAAGTATTATCTAAATTCTTCTAGGTATTTTCATGAAATATTGATGTATTTTAATCTATTTTAAAGTATCTTCAATGAGCAAAGTGTCACAGAATAAATTTATATTACACATTTTACTCTGTCTCATAACGTGCTTTTCATTTGGAAGGCAGACCTCTAGTGGATGAGAAATCAGAATGTGCAATAATTCTTAATGTGGAGAGAGTTCCAGCTGAGCCTAAACTGGGGTTCAGAGTCTGGGTGCTTATGATGAACTGGGAAACTGACAATCTGAAGCATGTGTTTGCAGGAATTGATTTGCTCTGGGATAGGATTATGTGGAATAGGGGACCTTGGGATGGAGAATTTCCTGGTCCTCGCTTAGGGACTCTGAGGGGAAAAGGGCTACACAGGCAGAAGCTAAAGAAGCTGTTTTAGTGGGAGGCAAAAGTAGTGCTCGTCGTGGTCCAGGTGACAAATTGCAAAACAAAATGGTAAGGGAGAGTCACTTCCTTGCAGATCCAGTGTGCCGCTGATGTTCTGAGGTCCTAACAGAAAGTAGTGTCATCTTGGCTCCTTCACAATACTATGATTTGGGAATCTCGGGAGTTCGCAGGGAAGGCATCCACACTGTACTCACTGAGAGGACCATCCGGGGGGGCCAGAGAAGGTGCCGCCCCCAAGTGGACCTTCCTGGGCAGCAGACACCAGCCAAGGGCTGGAAGAAGATGGAACAGGGAGCACAAGGCACATCCCTGGTGATACTCAGAAGTTACTATATTATATTAGTCTGGAAATAAATTTCTAAAATGTACTATTTGTATAAAATTATTTGTACTTCCAAACTGGTGAAGTGTAGTGATGTTGCGGTTCTATTCCTGAGAGGGACATTTTTCTTGAAACACATTATATTACATAGTTTCTTAGAGAATTAAAGAGGAAAGAAACTATCTTTTATTGAGTGTCTTCCCTGAGCTGGGCCCATTTATTCCCAGACCCCATGAAGTAGGTTGTGGCAGTTTCCTTTTGCAGTGAGAAACAGGATTTTGGAGAGGTTACGTAGTACACCCAGTGCCTCTCAGCTAGAAAGAGCAAATCTAGATCTGTCTAACTGCACGTCTGTCCATCTCCACAACTCGCAGGTATCTAAAGCTGAGCTCCCAGAGGGAATAAGCACCATTTTCAGGTGTTAGCTTCCTCATGTATGGCTAGTACAGGTAAACATCTAATTATAAGATCAGGATCACTTACCTGTAGGATGGCTTTCCTTCTCTCAGACCCTTCTCTCAAAAATTGCACATGAAAAGCCTGGGTGCAGGTTAGGAGACTACAACCTCTCCCTCTGTCTATGAAAGCTGGCAATTTCCCATTTGGGATGTGTCCTGACACATTTCCTTAGACACGACATGTACCTGGTTGTTAAGAGAATTTCAGGGACTCTTTAAATTTTTCAGGCTTACTGAAGATTGCTGGTAAGGAATTTCTTGATCTGCACACAAGACAACACTTGTAAGAAGGAGATTCAGAAGAACTGTTCTCCTCGTTGTTGTTGTTCATACTCCTAGTGATTGCTGTTCTGTCAGAGGCACTCCATAACATGTAAAGACATTTGGAGAATGTCACATAGAGGTAAACAGTAAAGCACACTGTTAGATTTCCCTGTAGATTTCGTAAGAAAATAGTGTGGAGCCCCTAGTCTATTTTTCCTTCCATCCCATTATCACATGTAACTGTACTATTCCGACTTCCTAGGAAACATATACAAGTTGACATGTCAGAAAAAGCAGAGAAAATATAGAGAGAATAACTTTATAGCACATATGAAAACAATATTTTTAACCCATGGGATTGATAAATGTTAAAGAAATGTTACATTTTCAGCTCAAGGTTTTAGGGGAAATTAAGTGGCAGTTGGCATGTAATATGTGTACATATGCTCTAAGTTGTATATGGAAACGACCCCTTCAAGTTCTACATTTTGTTGCATACCATACTGTTAAGGCTTTTCATGTGGCCAGAGGATTTAGGTGTCATTGTCTAGTTGCTCAGTGGTTAGGAGTGTGATGCCAATAAATAGAGGCACAGATTCAATCAAATCTCTCCTGTAATCTGGGTAGTTGTAGGACTGTGCTCTAAACTCAAAGAAAATATGTAGGGGCACCTGGGTGGCTCAGTGGGTTAAGCCTCTGCCTTTGGCTCAGGTCATGATCTCAGGGTCCTGGAATCGAGCCCAGAATCGGGCTCTCTGCTCAGCAGGGAGCCTGCTTTCCTCTCTCTCTCTGCCTGCCTCTCTGCCTACATGTGATCTCTGTCAACTGAATAAATAAAATATTTAAGGAAAAAAAAGAATATGTATATTTACTGCTATGTCTCTAGTACCTAATAACTTTTGGCACATTATGGGTATTCAGTTAGTATTTTACTGATACCGTACACTCAATATCCTCTGGTCAAAGGATGATGAAAAATAAGAAAGAAAGGCACTTTATGAAATCTCTGCCTCTTTGTAGCCATGGGACCCTGGGCAAAGTCACTTCAACTCTCTAACCCTTATTTATTCATTTGTAAATTGGGGATAAGAGATCCCACCTCATAGGTTGACATGATGATTAAGGCAAATGATTACGGAAAGCATTTAGCATAATGCGTAGAGCTCCGAACATAATAAAAATAGCCACGATTTATTGAATGCTTACTTTGTACCAACCACTGTGCTAAACATTTTTCAAGCACTGTTGAACCTCACTGCAGCCCTATATGTGATAGATATTCTATTAGCCCCATTATAGACCAGGAAACTAAAGTTTAGAGGGTTAATAAAACTTGCTCAATGTTAGGCGACATATTTCTTAAGATTATTTTACTTGCAAGAACAGAAAAAAAAAAACCCTGAAACTCAAGGAAATTTATTGCTTCACCTAACAAAAAAGCCCAGAAGTACACTAGTTTTGGACATGATTTAGTCCAGAGAGCAGTGGTTCCTTCTCTCTGTGATTTTTCTCAGCTCTGGCTTCACTCTTCCCTGCTGATGTCAAGATGGCTGCCAGCAGCTGCCAGAGCTACATGCTTCATGCACTTCCAGTTGGAAACAGTGGCTCACCTCACAGCTATTGAAACAGAACCTTCAATACTAATTGCACTCTCTGAAGAGCAACCCAGAAGCAATGACCACCACAGGGGATGGGATAATCCTGACTGGCTGGAGCTGAAGATGATTACAGTCAGCACCATTCAAACGAGAGAAAGAATGATGAACTATGAGAGACTGGGGACCCCAAGAAACAATCTGGAGGTTTCAAAGGGGAGGAGGGTGGGTGGGTGGGAACAGGGTGATGGGTATTGAGGAAGGCACATGCTGTGATGAGCACTTGAATCACTGAACACTACATCAAAAACTAATTCTGTACCATACAGTGGCTAACTGAACATAAAAAACAAAACAAAACAAAGTGACCAGCATGGAACCGCAGGGTCTACTAAGTGACTGGAATAAAAACCCGTTACATTTATCTTCTTTAAGGAGGCAAAGAAGATAATTTGTAGATTTGGTCCAAAACGATATTTAATCTGAGTAAAAACAATGCTGATATGGCAGTAAATTTTCATTAGTATATTGACTTTATCGTTTACGACCTGAAGTATCTCCTAACCTCAAAACCGACCTGAGAGACTGGAAGGACATGTGGTGTTACTTCCTTATAAAGGGGAAGACTAAGGCTTGGAGGGATTAGGCACGTTCTCCCAGCATGCACTGCAAGTCAATGACTGGCCTGGCATGAGAAGGAAAGGATTCCTGATTTGTAATCCAGGGCTCCTTCAATCATACCACGTTTGGAGAGGGACGTATTACCTCCACGTTTCCTCTGGAGACTGAAGCTCGGAGATACTAAGCAACTGCGTGCTCAGCATTGCTCAGCTCATAATGGCCGAGCTGAGATTCAAACCCTCATCTTCCGACTCCAAAGTCTGTGCTCATCATCCAGTTACTGCCGCTGTGGTTGGCAGATCTCAAAAAGGAAGTGGTAGTGAAAACTCTTTTCCCTTCACCCCTCATTTGTGAACAGCAGGGCCAATACCCTCCTTTATCTTAAAAGCAGTCATTTTAATATTCTATGACAGGTGGTAAAAATATTAATTTTAAGTATATTCATATACATGAAGGATAAAATTCCTGTTAATCATCTTTATAACGTGTTTTTATTGGAGCCTCGAGAGTTCCTGAATCTGTGGTGAGAAATCTCTCTCACTTCATTACTGGAAAGAATCCTATCAGTATATACTCACCCCTTCACAGTTACCCCCAAACTTCTATCAGAAGGCCAGTAGCCTCCAAAGGTAGGTCAGTGACTCCCAGCCTTTTAGTCATCAAGGACTCCTTTTGTGTGGCCTGGCCGTGTGCATGGACTTTCACAGCAGAGTTCTGTCTTGAAGGGGTGTAGGGTCCCGGCTCATGACCAGGGCTTCTTGCCATGCTGGCTGTTTAGGGGATGAGTTTGTTAGGCATGGGGTGGAAGTCACAGTGTGGTCCTGCTTCCATGTCTCAGAATTTCGGTGATATCATCAAAGACCAATCAGGACTTCCGATCATCACGTGATCTCCGCTATTATCAAAATTCCAGCCAAAAGAAAAATTTGTGATTTTAATTAGTCAGGGTGGCCTAATTATGTGAAAGAAAATGCAAAATTTTTAGTTAGGCTTTTTGAAATATTAAGCACAGCTGGCAGACGCCCAGCACCGTCTTTGTGGGCCACGAGGAGCCAGAGACCTCATCCTGGGTGACAAGGGTTTAAAGCAGATTGCTTTGTTTTTTTCTTCAGACTATAAAAGAAAGTAAAATTGACATGTATTAATTTTGACCAATATATCAAAGTAGAACCATATTTTTGTGGGTTAGGGATGATGGATGATCCACTTAAAGATTCTGTTGTTCTATATTTAAGGATATATTTCTTTAATTATTGTTTTTGTACGGTTGAATCAAATTCAAGCAAGTTGAATTTTATTTTTCTACAGCTATTCCTCTGATGCTATAGTAGCCTTGAGAGAATCAAGGGCAACATGACCAGTCTTATGGAGTGTGGAATAGTAACATCTGCCCTGATTATTTCGCAGGATTATTATGGGTTTTGCATATAG